TATATACCAGAGGCAATAATCATCTAAAAAAAAGCAATTTACAGACAGAAAAAACAAGGAATTCAAGTTTTTAAAATCAATATCTCAGAATGAATGTAACAGAGCTACTCCAACATGTAGCCACCTTGAGGGGCACAAATCGAGAATATTGTATCACAAAAATGAAAAAAGCCACACAAACAACCAAACGTTTTTTATTTGTTTTCTTCAAACATTTTCGTGTAATTGGAGACAGTAATGTTAAAACATTCGTAATATTTGTCTCATGATGCATTTCAAACGAAAAAAATCCAAATTTAGGATTCTACCAATACAATTTAGACTATGTAGTGACGTCATCGTAAGGATGACTGACAGCAAAACCAGCGAATCAATTGTCCGTCCGCATTTTGCTGCAGCCAATCAGCGTCTTGTATTTATTGTTTGCGGAAGTAGCTGTGCCGCTACACTGTACGGAAGAAGTTCGGGAAAACTATCTCAAAACCCACGACTAAAACTAACAAAACACGTTTTATAGATACTTTCGTGGACTTATAGTCCATTTATGTCTAGATGAGTTGCAAATTAAACGCTGAATGACATCATAATGCACGTGCTCCCCGCATGGCTCGCTCTTCAAAATAGCTATTTTAGGTTACATTTGAGTGATTAGAGTCAAGTCAAGCGTCTGCTGGCAGATCCATGGACCGTGAGACTCTGGAGCAGCAGGAGGGGGACTCAGAGTTGGACCCGAACCCGGTGAAGCGGCTCAGGACGACAGCAGGAGGAGAAGCAACAGAGACCAGAGGAGGAGGATGGCGGGGCGCAGTGGATGTGGTGGGTGAAGAACTCAGCTCAACCGACGCTAACACATTTATGTGTTCATGTGTGTATTGTTACATTTATTAACAGATACAATTTGATAAACTGCCGAGAGTCCCTCTGAACTGCGTCAGTCTTTAGAGACCAGTTGGCTCCACTCGGTCCTGATGAGACTGATACGGCCCATTTATTCCGGTTTTAGGTTTTCCTGTCGTATTATTTATTTCACCTCTTGTAAATTTGTGTCACTCTTTGACACAGACCTTTGCTTTAGGAAGCGTGACTGTGGCAGTTTTACTCATTTTCGGGTTAATTTCCCTCCTGGATCTAAAGTTTGTACCAACCTGTAGTTTTTGTTTGGTTGCCACGGCAACAAGCAGCTGCACTGAGTGTGAACTTTCTCTTTCCTGTGTTCAGAGTATTATCATGCCGGTGTACAACGCATCCTGTTGGCTGGACGAGTGCCTGCTGGGCATATTACACCAAGACTTCACCGGATCCATGGAGCTGTCGGTGTTCGATGATGCAAGCACTGTATGTTTGTTTGCACGTCTGATCGTGTTTGTCTTAAACCTCACTGAGGTTTTTCATCTCCGCCTGTCAATCAGGACGACTCGAGGAAAGTGCTGGAGGGTTGGAGTGAAAAGTTGCAGGCAAGAGGATTTGTAGTGGTAATCTCTGGTCACGATTCTCCCCAACCAAGAGGAGGTCAGTTTGGGACAAATATACGAGATAATCAAACTTAATGCCTTATTTTTATTAATATCCGGGATGTCAGTACTGCAGCACATATCTTAGTGCGAGGTGGAATTATCAGTGTAGCAAAGTTTTCTTGCTAACTTTACAAATCTTTTCTATTTTTCTCTAGCCGCATGACATTTTCCTATTGAGGTCAAAGAAACAAGTTTAGGAAATGCCTACAAAAGTGTTTTTTTTTTCACAATTTAACCATGTACTGTGATGTAAAATTATATTATTTTAGAATAATGGTTGGTACTATCTTGTTAGCATCTTAGCCTTAGCAGACAGTACTACACCTTATATGTAAAAACTACTGTTCCATCTCTTTGTTATTGAAATTGTTTGTCATTTTTTTATCTAAAAACTTTAATGCAGCTTTTAAGCAATGTTATCCAAGATGCACAAACAGAACTGTAAAACATTATTTTGTCTTTCAGTGGGATACGCAAAGAATAAGGCAATAACTCAGAGCTGTGGACAGTATTTGTGCTTTCAGGATGCGGTAGGTGTGTTTTATTTCACATTTTTTATGATACATGCATCAGTGAATTAAAGTTGATTAAATTATTTTATTTTTTCCAAATATAAACACAACCTACCTCATGGTTTTTCATTAAAGGCCTGGGGATGCTAAAAATGTAGAAGTGTGGTTAACTCTGGGAAATGGGATGCAGCCCAAAGCTGGACACTCCTTCAAATGATTTTCCAGCCCTCGGTGAACTCTGTATGACAAACTGTCCATGCCACTGTTTTAATTTAGCCACTCAGGCTCAGAAATTCATTGTTACTCAACTCGGGCACAACTGTCTCCTGAGACGTAAACTAAAACTGCATTACGCACGGAGAAAGTCATACATCAACGCTGCACCGAAACACTCAGTTCTGTTGACAGGAGCCCGTCTCAGGTGGAGAGAAAGGCAATGATGAACACATGTTCAGTGTTCAGACAAGATTGTGCTTCAGTCTCTTTTTGTACAAGCAGATGTTGGGTTTTATGTGCCATAGATGAAAAAAAAAATCAGTCTGCTTGTTGTTAGGAGGAGTTTTCAAAGTGTTTGTGATGGTTCAGGAGTCCATCAGTGACAATATTTCAGTGACTTTGTGTGTAACATACGTCTCTTGTCTTTTCTAGTTCGTTTATATTTTCTAAATACTGCAAAGTTCATGAAAGGAGACACTGAAAGTCTTTTTTATTGTACAGTAGTCCCTCGTTTATCGCGGGGGATCCGTACCCTGAAGCCCTGCGATAAGTAAAAAGCTGCGAGGTAGGAATAGTATTACAAGTAGTAAGTAGTAGTTTATTTTAGTATATATATATATATATATATATATATATATATATATATATATATTATTTATATATATATATACATAATATTAAGGCGTTTTAAACCCTTCCCACACTCTTGCAATATTCTAGACAATGTTTCTAAACTCTAAACGCTCTAAAAGAGCACAGCATGTCATGAAATCAGCTCTCTGCCTCCGGCTGCACTCTGCCATCTGCAAGTGCTCTCGGCCACGCCCACTTCTCCGCTGCAGGAGGAAGCTTCTCCTGCAAGCTGTGGGCTGCACGCAGGTGCAGCAGGTGCTGAATAATTTAAAATAATTTATTTTTAAAGAAAAATTCCATGCCGATCGTGCGGTTCATCCATCAATCAGCCAATTGTGTGTCATGGCCGATCTTATTTTGAAAAACCGCGATAGAGTGAGTCCGTGACAAACGAACCGCGACGTAGAGAGGGACTACTGTACACCAAAGCTCATGCTCAATAATCCAGGTAATAATCTAACAATGTTCAGTCAGGTCTTCTGGACAGTTTCTTTTTTTGCTGAGATGTTTCGTCCTTCATCCAAAGGACTTCTTCAATCTGAGGAGCCACCAAACAAACTGAGTCCCACAGCGCACTCCCATAGTGGAAAAAAAAAACAGTTTGCTGATGCTAAGATGGCCTCTGGGGCCCACCCTCTCCCCCGTCAACTCATCTTATCACCAGCAAACTGTTTTTTCCCCACTATGGGAGTGTGCTGTGTGTGGGACTCAGTTTGGTGGCTCCTCAGATTGAAGAAGTCCTTTGGATGAAGGACGAAACGTCTCAGCAAAAAAAGAAACCATCCAGATGACCTGTTTTTTTTTTTTTATTGTACTTGTATCAAATAAAGAATCTTAAAAACTTTTAGGTTTTTGATACATTTAACCAAAAAAACTCAGTTTTTCTTAAAGTTTCTACATTTCTTTGTTTTCTTTTTGTGCTTAAACTGTTGCCGAGTGTTTCTGAAGAACTAAATTGCTTTGTCAAGCTGATTCATCAAAACGTTCATGTTCCTCACCGTAGGATGACATTATGTTGCCTCAGAGAGTTCGCCTGCAGTATGAAGCATCTCTCCTCCGTCCGAACTTCGTAAGTTTTTGCTGAACTCGTTGCTTATTCACTTCCTTCCCTTTCTTCTTGCTCATCATCGTCAGCCCCTGCTTCCTTTCTTTTCTCCTCACTTCTCCTCCTCCTGTTCCCCTTTCCTCAGCCTGTTGTGATGATATTCATGCTGTCTGTGTGAGTGTGAGTGCAGCTGGCACTCAGAACAGCGCGAGTATCCGGTGTTGCTGCTCGCTTTGGTGTGCCAGGTCAAAGGTTAAAGGTCGGTTGTGTGAGGGGGAAATGAGTAAGACTTCATGGAGACAGCAGGCTTGCTGCCCAGCACAAACAACCTGCTCTTGTCTGCTATGACTTTCATTTGTCATGGCTCTGGAAACAAAGAAAGTTATGTACTTTGTTTTGGAGTTTAGTTTATTTTACCTTTTTTTCTTGATGCAGATCGCCCACTTTGACGGCAAACGCAGAACAATAATGCTTTTGCTCTTGTCTGTCTGTTTGTGTTCATTTGTTGGTACTGTTAGCAAAATATCTCTTGAACCACAGAACAGACTTTCATATAAAATGTTCAGAGAGTTATCAAAGTTCATGCTCAATAATCCAGGTAAAAAAACATCCAACAAAATTCAGTCAGGTCATCTGGATGGTTTCTGTTTAGACGTTTCGTCCTTCATCCAAAGGACTTCTTCAGACTGAGGAGCCACAACAAATTTGAGTCCCACAATCAGTTTTGAACCACTTTGGCTATGGTTGCCTCAGAGGAGTCAGGGGGGGAGAGGGCAGGCCCCAAAAATGTCATCACCAGCAAACTGGTTGGCCCAGTGAGTGTGCTGCTTGTGGGACTCAGTTTGTTTATGGCTCCTCAGACTGATGAAGTCCTTTGGAAGAAGGATGAAACGTCTCACAAAAAAAAAGAAAAAAAAAAGAAAAGAAACTGTCCAGAGGACATGACTTAACTTTTTGGGTTCAGAGAGTAACTTAGAGAGGAGCCAGTTCACGATGACCTTCAAAAGCAACCTTTGTAAACAGAAGAACAAACGTGATTCAGCCAGTTTGACAGATGCTGAGCTCAAATTTGGTGTCATCATTCACAACGCATACTTTGAGCACAACACATTGAGCAACATCTTTGCGTAAACCCATGACATTAATTGTTGGAGTCAGTCCTGCTTGTCTGTTAGCAAAATATCTCATGAACCACTGGATGAATTTCAATGAAACTGTCTGGAAGTAAGTGTTGGATAAATGCATATACTGTAGGTGGGAAACTTTTTGAGCCAACCCAATTTAAATAAGTCCTCACAGCCCATTGATCTTAGACTACACAGAAATGGCTATAACTTATGGAATGGGAAAAACAGACCCCGCCCCCTCCTTTCTCTTTCTGGCTGTCTGTCACAGGTTGCGTGTCTGCCTGTTGTGTTTCTCTGCTTTGCTGTGACAGACATCCTCAGAAAGAGAATGGAGGTGGTCCCTTGGCGATCACTGAGAGGGCCAGGTCACCAGGAAACAATGTGTAAAATCTTACATTGAAAATCTGTGGAAGAGTGAATCCACGAAATTTGAACCGCAAAGTTTTGAGAGACTACCACTACTGTACTCATAATGTTAATCTTTAGGTTTAACTAAATTGGCTATAAAATGTTATTTCTTAACATGAGAGGATCTCGGTCCAAAACTCTGGCATTGTCATTTTTTTTAACAGTTAGTATGAAAAAAGAAAATCCCATCAGACGTGATCCGAGCCTGGAGTGACAATTTAAAAATGTCATATTATGTTTGGCATTTGTCCAAATTGTGTTATTCTGTGAGTTTGACTGAAATATCTGTTTGGTTTAAGTTTTTTCCAGGCAGTTTAAAGCTCTCTCTCTCTCTCTCTCTTTCTATGTGTGTGTGTGTTTTCCTGATAGCTGATTGGCTGTCGAGTGCAAAGGCTGCCGGAGGGATCTACAGAGCGTTACACCCGTTGGATCAACTCACTGACTCAGGATCAGCTTGTCACACAGGTAAACACGCGTGGCTCGGCCCTGAATGTTTGTGTTTACTCTGCGTGTGAGAGGTCACGCGTCAGCCAGCTACCAGGTCAGATAGAAACAGGATGCATACCTGCTGTCTGCTGTTTCCACGGAAACGTGAAGGGTGGAGGCTGCGTCACTTCTGCCCTCACTGTGCATCAAAGTCTCCGCAGAGGAAACAGGTTGTCCGCCGTTTGCTGAGGACAGTTTATATTAGCAGCTGCGACTGGAAAAATGAAGTCTGCAGGCAATGTTCAGCAATTCTTTTGTTTAGTCAGAACACTCATCAGGTTTACAACCAAACTACGTTTTCAGGTTTTTAGAAGAACTATACAAGAAACACAAGCAAACACTTATTTTTTGTCTTGAGAGAAGGACAAGAGGTTTAAAAAAAATCTGGAGAGACTTTTCATACCTCTGTTACTCCTTTAACCTCAACAGTCACGTATGCCTCATTCACCAAAATCCCCCAACTTATCTGTCTGTGGTCCATTTGATTTATAAAAAGTGTAGATTCCACATGCTTAAGAAAAAATACAAATCTATGGAAAAAAGATTTGTGGTTGCTCCTGCTATTATTTTCACTGTAAATTTTAAGTCCAACAATGAATTAAGGATTATTTAATCATTGAAATGATGGCGCAGTTGGCAGAGCTGTTGCCTGTCAGTGAGAAGGTCACTGGTTCAAATCCTGGCTCAGGTTTTCTCCGGGTACTCTCTTTTCCTCCCACAGACCAAAAACATGCATGTTAGGCTGATTGGTAGGTGTGAGTGAGAGAGCGAATGGTTGTTTGTCTCGTTTGTCTCTTTTGTGTCCCCGTGATGGACTGGAGACCTGTCCAGGGTGGACAGGAAGGAGCGGGTAAAGAGGATGGATGGATGGATGGATGGATGGATGGATGGATGGATGGATAACCATTGAAATGATACAAATACTGTGCAGATTTTATTTATTTTAAGATAATTGTTTTGCTTTCTTCATAACTTTGCAATGAATGCTTTCAATGTGTTTAAAACCACAAATCAATCAAACACTTTATGCACCGCGTAAAGTTATTGACTTTTTTAATGTTTGATTTCCAAATATTTTGTTGTTACCATTTAAAACACTGATGGAAAGTGCGGCCTTTATTCCTGAAACAGGCCGGATTCATAAAAAAATTAAAATAAATCACATTTTAAATTTTCTAATTTCCAGCTGTAATATTAACACCAGAGTTCATTCATAAACAGTGTTTGTTTAAGTTGCATAAAATTGAAACGAGGATGTATGAAAGGCAAATTGGCAAGACTGAGTGCTGTCACAGACAATTTATGAATGCATAAAATTTGATGAGTATGAACTCTATAGATTTACTTTGCTACTATAGCTTCAAATGGATGCTGAAGAGATATACAGTTATATATGATTGTAATAATAATGTAATAATTGGAATTGTAATAAAGATACAGTAGTCCCGCGCTACTTCGCGGTTCGTTTATCGCAAACACGCTCTATCGCGGTTTTTCAAAATAAGACTGAAGTGGCTGATTGATGGATGGGCCGCACGATCGGCATGTAATGTTTATCTAAAATAAAGTATTTTAAATTATTTAGCACCTGCTGCACCTTTGTGCAGCCCTTACTGCAGGATAAGCTTCCTGCTGCAGCTGATCAGCTGTTCACCGTGCAGAGCGGTGGAGTGGGCGTGGCCAAGAGAGCTTGCAGGTAGCTGAGAGCAGCAGAGGCAGAGAGAGGGAAATCATAACATTCTGTGCTCTTTTAGAGCATTTAGAGTTTTAGAAACATTGTTTGGAATATTGCAAGAGTGTGGGAAGGGTTTAAAATGCATTAATATATAATAAATTAGACTACTATTTACTACTTGTACTACTATTCCTACTTCGCGGTTTTCCACTTGTCGCGGGTCTTCAGGGTACGGATCCCCCATGATAAACGAGGGACTACTGTACACAGTTGTTGAAAACAAGTCAACTGAATCCATAAGTTTAGTTCCTTCTATTTACTGTAGATAACATAAAATGTTCATGTATTCCTTTGTCATAGCACTTTTGACAGTAGTGATAATAAAATACATTTTCACTTATTACATTTGCTTCACTGACACATCATACACAAATGATAGGAGAGAGTTATATGGAGGTGAAAACTCTGGAATATGTAGAAATGGAAGTTTGCCCGTTTTGATTTACGAAAACACAACGTCACCAAGGATACGAGTCAACCTGGACTCTCTCTCTCTGACATGACTCTCACACAGGCTGCGTTTCCACTCAGCAGACATTCCAGGATTTTTCGATGATATTAAGTTTCATAGAGCGTGAAGTCATACGCTGAAGGCTTGAAAGCTGCACCCTTTCCTCCTCTTCTTTTTACTTCATCTGTCTTAATATTTAATTCCATGAAGATGAAATCTAACTTTTCTAAACCCGAGTTTCAGTTGCTTGTTCTCTCTGTGTGTTTTACACACAGTTCTTTACAAACACACCTCGTACTCTGATGACTCACCTTCGATTGTGCATTTGCTGTTTTCCCAGAACTTATTCTTATTCCTCTTATTCGGCTTTTGGCAGCATCTTACATCTGCAAATGTTGCAATATTACAACACACAAGCAAAGGGACGTGGGTGGACACACACACACACACACACACACTCCCTTGTTAAGATTCAGTCCAGCTGGTTAACTGGTTGAATCCAGATGTTTTGCACAATTTCCTACATCTGTGATACATTTCTGTTGTGCAGTTGTATTTTTTTTTTTTCACTTTTAAGAAAAGCCACACAGACAAATGCACATGTACACGCATATTCACACTGTGTGAATCAAAGTGATGTGGACGGGCCATTAGATTCACAATGCAAGAGATGCAAGAGACACACACTCAAACACACACGAAAGGAGGAACAAGAAGGGGCGGGGCCTGGAAAGAGGCCTAAGCACCAGTGGGACAAATGAGTTGCATCTGTGGAGAGAGAAACGTACGAGCCGTGCTTTTCTGTTGCATTAAAGGATGCCGTCAGAGGAAGGAGGAGCGCATTAATCATCAGTCAGATATCGTGTGTGTGAAGAGGGAAGCGTGTGTCCATCCCTCCACAGAAAGGAATGGGTGATACGCATAGGCGTGTCACGATAACAAATTTTGCTGGGCGATTAATTGTCCCAGAAATTATTGCGATAAACGATATTGTTTGAAATTTGACAATAATTTGTAATTATTGTCAAATTTAAGAAGAAATGTTGGTTAATTTCCTTCGAGTGTAGTACTTTTTTTGACCACCGGATGGCAGGATAAGACTGAATCTAAGGATGGATAGTGAGGGAGCGAGCAGCGTCTCTTTAAGAAAAATGGGAGGGAGGCCCCTTGACGTGACACGGACTGTCTCTCCTTCCTCTTTTTCGGTTCTCAAAATGGCGGACGCTTGGTGTGGTTTGAGCTCTTTAGCATAGCATTTTTCACACAAAGCTTTTAATAAAAAAATCAGTAAACAAATTCTCAGCTTCTTTTTGCAGAAAAAAATAACTTTTCACACAAAGGCACAGGTTTCAACCGTGAATTTTGGAGCTTCGGCAAGACGGAGGTTTTTTCCCCAAGGTCGGCCTGTTAGCTTAGCTCGTTGCTTAGCTTCTCAGCTTAGCTGCATTTAACGATCCAAAAACACGATTTTGGACGGTTAAAACAGATTTTAAAGAGAAAGGGAGGGGTCAGTGAAGAGCACCTGAGTTGAGTCTTTTGTCATCCAGTGTCTTTGGTAGAAAGAGAGGCATGAAGAAACGATAAAGCCGATAAATTAAACTGAGGTTGATCTTTTTAATTTATCTTGTGATTAACTGATTTATTTTTTATCGCGACAGGTCTAAATACACATACATTTAAAGAATGCTAGGCCTATAATTTATTATGGGTTTGGAGACTAAAGGTCTAGTTATACTTCACCAGATCTCAACACTGGATCTCGCTGACGTGATTTCAGTCCTTTTTGCCTGGACTGCACAGTTGGCAGAGTGGTCTATCTTCAATTGATGATGGAAAAGTTGGAATTTCAGATGTCAGCTGAGGAGAAGCATATTTTGTAAATTTGTCACAGACAGCCACCGTTTTCAAACGTTTCTGTTTCAGACGGTGTGGGAACGCGCCCATACGCTGCCCACCTGGGTTGCATTTTCTCTCGGTTATCGCCGTCACAGCTACCCGGGGGAGGTGCACTCCCTCGTGGTCAGCAAAGCCATGGAGGACCGCCTGTGTCTTTACACTGCCTCAGAAATTGTCCGATCTCCTTCCACGTGTTCGTTGACTATTTTCATAAAATTTATTTGGCTATCTTTATTTTTGTGGGAACAAATGTAATGATGGCCGTATTTTTCAACTCCCTCATCTAGTTTCTCCTCAGCAGACTCTGCTCTCAGAGATCAACCAACTGCAGCCGCTTTTCACAAACAAAAACGCCCACGAAGGTCTAAGAAATCACACAGTGCACGCTGCGTATCCTGTAAGAAGCTACTTCTGACTGGGAGCAAAGTGCAAGACTTAGCAGGGCACAGTTTCTGCACTTCTCGTGGACTATAAACCTTTAAAATGTCAACTTGTTACATTTGAGCATTTATCTGTAGAACATTAATTATTAAATAATGCACCCATTTCACTGGAGTTGTCCAAATCTGAACTTGTCCAACCATTTGACTTTCTTCCATTGCCTTCGATGTCCAGTCTTTATCTGTCTTGGCGAGTTAAAATCATTCCTAAAGCCTTTCAAGGTTGCACGTCTGTTTAGTCCCAAAACCTGTAGTTCTCTATGTATTGTGACAGTTAAAATGCTTTTAATTTTACTATTAAACTTTACAGTGTGCGTACTTTTTATATTGTTTACTGTTTATTTATCTCACAAAAATATTCAGAATTTTTACCTCACAATGTTTTTCTCTTTTTTCCCACACTTTAATCGTGCACTGTGTCAAGGGAATGTGTATTATTTGCACTTACCATGCTCCATAATTTTACTTGATTAATGTGTTTTATACACTGCTCTTTTGCTGTAATTGTGAATGATATTAAAATGTTCCATGATCCTTACTCTGTGTAATAATCAGTCTTCATGTGACCGGTCAGCAAAAGATCATTTTTATTATTCTCAAGGTTTGATTAAAGGGATTATAGTGAGATGGTTCCAGAGGCCTTGGGAGCTGTCTGGCTCCCAGATACTTCTAACTTCTGACTGCAGCTAGGTTCTGATAACAGCTGGACAGGACGGGGAGGGGCTGGCGGCTGGATGTTTTCTACAAAACTGACTTTTTCAGTTCAGGAAGTCAGAACCGGTCAGAGCCTCAGAAAGGTGAAAGCACTGATAAGTGTGTACTTGTAAATGCATTGATTTTCTGTGAATGCTGGCTGTTCTCCAAAGCTGTGTAACAAATCTGATGAAGTCTACACCTGGTTGTTTTGGGAATCTCTTTTTTCCACAACACACTGGATAATTCAGAGCTTTTGTTCTGGAAGTTTTAGCAATCTCTTTAGATGTCTTGTAAGGGAATAATTTGCATACTTTCGACAACCACAGGACGTGCCTTCAGTTATGTTTGACAGAAGAAGCTCTTTACTGCATTAGTTTTGGTCAAATAACCTGTTGCCAGTTGATACATCGTCATCACTGCAGTACTTTTCCATAGGGTGGCTCTTACCTGTTCATCTATTTAAACCCAGGTGGTCCCTTTTTGCCAACGTGACCATGTATGAGACATATCAACATTTATTTCCTGTATTCAATTGAATTTGGTATGTTCTTTGTGACTAATGGTTTTTATGTTTTTCAGCAGTCAGTTTATGTTCTGAATGGTTTTTGGTTTTAGGTGTATACCTCTCACGGGCCCACAGTTGTCATGCCAACATGGTTCTGCTCAAGAAGACTGTTCCTAAAGGTCGGGCTGTTTGACGAGGGAGGCAAGGTGAGATGTCCCTCTCAATCATCTCTACAGTGTCAGTTCAACACAAAACCTGTAGACTAACAAGCTGCTCCAAACATCCTGGCATCACAATCCTGGGCAGACGTTTGAAGGATCAAGGCTGTTTGGTTTTAAGAAAAGATTTGGAAAGAATTAACAAGAAACAAATCACAAATAACAGATTGTTTTTATCATATGATTGCATGTGTATTTGTGTGAAGTAGTGTGTGTACTTCTAATGTACCACAACTCACACAAAAGCCCATCAAGTTTATCTAAAGCATTTTTGCAAATATATGTTTAAGTTTTTGCTGCTTCCATCAACATTTTGTGACGGTTGTGGCTATACCCAAATATAAGGAAGGACCAATGAGAACAGAGACCAAGACTGAATCAGTTTGCAGTGTTTATTCACAAGGTGAGATATAAGTGATAACCCAGGGGAGGAGACTGGAACCATGAGTAGCAGAGATGAGGTAAGAGAAATGCGCGGGTTTTTTGTTCTTGTATTTACACAGAATGCCCTGCGCTGTAGTCCACTTCCTGCTTTTGAAGCTGTCTCCGGTCCGCTTGCATTCACACTGCATTCGAACCGCCTTCGAGTTCACTTCAATCAAACCGAGACTTAGGTATTTAGGAGGACCAGAGTTAGCTTTTTTTGGTCAGAATTCGATTGCACATTCACACCTCTCCAAACAAACTGGACTTTCTAGGCAAACGGACTAGAGTTCAATGCGCCCTTATATATTCCTCATGCTCATCAAGTGGCAGAATCACAGGTGTAGCTAATTAGAGTCTGACTGTGGGAGCAGAAGCTGGCAGAGCAGAACTCCAACACATTTTGCTTTGTGCAAGTTCAAAATGTACTTTATATTTCTGTTGATGAAACACGCCATGCCTGCATGTCCTTCAAATTTCCCATCCCATCAGTCGGCTTCTCTTGGTTTGTGCTGTTTTTGCCTTCTCTGAAGCGAATGTGTATCAAAAAGCCGTTAGCCACAGTGGAGCAAAATGTTCCCAACCTAAATAAACCTCTGAATTTAATATTTAAACCCAAACTGCTTTGATGAGTGACAGATGGCAGTTTTTGTTTCAAATATCACATTCCTTTCACTTCTCTGTCACCAGGGAGTCCCGGAGGATCTGCTCTTCTTCTACCAGCTTCTTCGTCAAGGAGGCTCTCTGTTCAGGGTCGACCAGTCCCTGCTGGTATATCGTTACCACGAGAAGGCCACCACTCATTCTGTAACAGAGTGAGTCTCACCATACGCCCCCATCGCTCTCACACTCACATACTTGGGCACGGTGTTGATCCTCCACCTACACACAGCTGCCCCTCAGAGTTTCTCATGACTCTTGCCTTCAAGCACACACAGAGTAATCTTGAGATTTTCTGACTTTGCTTTTGGAATTCCAGTCATTTTCCCAGCATTAAAATCAGGAATTCCAACTTTGTCTTCCTGGAATGTTCAGTATCTGTTCACTGCTGGTCGTGACGAACCAGATCTTGCTGTGAATAGATCTGTCACGATAACAAATTTTGCTGGGCCATTAATTGTCTCAGAAATTATTGCACTAAATGATAATATTGTTTGAAATTTGACAATAATTAGTAATTATTGTCAAATTTAAGAAGAAATGTTGATTTGTTTTGAGTGTAGTACCTTTTTTGACCACTGGATGGCAGTACAAGACTGTTTGAAACGAAGGATGGATAGTGAGGGAGCGAGCAGCGTGTCTCTTTAACAAAAATGGGAGGGATGCCCCTTGACGTGACATGGGTGGTCTCTCCTTCCTTCGGTTCTCCAATGGCGGACGCTCGATGTGGTTTGAGCTCTTTAGCGTAGCATTTTTCACACAAAGCGTTTAATAAAAAATCAGTAAACAAGTTCTCAGCTTCTTTTTGTAAAGAAAAACTTTTTACACAAAGGCACGGGTTTCAACCGTGAATTTTGGAGCTTCGACAAGATGGGAGTTTTTTCCCCACGATTGGCCGGTTAACTTAGCTCGTAGCTTAGCTTCTCAGCTTAGTGGCGTTTAATGATCCAAAAATGAGATTTTGGACAGTTAAAATGGATTTTAAAGAGAAAGAGAGGGGTCGGTGAAGAGCACCAGAGTCATCCTGTGTCTTCAGAAGAAAGAGAACGAAGAAACGATAAAGCCGATAAATGAAAATGAGATCAATAATTTTCATTTATCATGTGATTAATTAATTTATTGTTTATTGCGACAGGCCTAGCTGTGAACAAAAGTGTCCAACTGACATTCCTGCTCTTGCCTTGTCTTTCCCATTCAGTGTCTTCAGGTGTACATGTGTGTGTGCCTTTTAAACCTGAGATTAACATCTTTCCATCTCCACCTTCACTCCCACCTTTCTTTTTATCCTTCCTCCCTCCCTGCTCGTATACCTCTCTGTGTTGATGCACTCCTTCACCAGTCATCTTCTTCTGTTTTTTTTAATCATTCATCTGGCTATTTTTGGAGGCCTATTTCAGGCATGTCTACTAACCCCCCCCCCCCCCCCCCATTCTTGTCACACTCCACCACCACCCTCCCATCAGCTTGCCTACCTACTTCCTGACTTTCTTCAAAGGAAGTCATCATCTTATTTCTGTCTGTGACCATAGATGACCTTATATGAGGTGAGAAGTCAAGCAGTAACTAGTGTGAGACTCTTTGACTCTAAGGCTGTTTCTAAATGTGAGCAGAAGGTATTTGTGTTGTAAATCTTTCCTATATTTCTTCTATATTTTGGAACTAACGCTTGTGAAACAATCCACAGCAAAGAAATCTTCTGGAGACCACCCAGGCTCTATGGTGGTTCTGGTTTTGGGGTTTGTTTGCCATATGAGGCTTGTGAGACAAAATAAGAAGCTTGCTTTTAAAAATGAGAGAAGAGCACTTCCTATAAATGTATATATATATATATATATATATATATATATATATATATATATATATATATAGTATACTCATTATCAGTATCAGGATGTGTGGAGGAGGTGTCGAACACAGACAGTCAAGTTTAGCTTTTGGTTTTATTCACTGTCACAGGGAATTGGTGAATTCTGGTAAATGCATGATTTACCAGCATTTTAGGAAAATTACCTAAACAATTTTAAAGATTAGACCTTATAAACCTGAAAACATCAAACTTTCACCCTTCTCTTTCGAAGCATATCAAAGTTTTGACATTTGTTCTGATTTAGAAGCTGTTCACTTGTGGTTTCTGCATATATCTACACATGCAGATGTTGAATATGGACAGCTGTTCCTTTCAAAGCACAAATGTGATATGCAGATGTTTTCTGGTCCTGAATTTGCTTCTAGTGTTGCATCAGCTGTTTGCAGATTAAGCTGCAGCATCTTGTTAAAAATTATTTCTGAGGTGTACCAACAAATAATAAATACTGGAAATCATAGCTGTTCTACTCCAAGATCAGTTGGCTGATATGCTGTAGAGAGAAACTTAAGGTATGCTCGCATGAGTCCTTGTTGTCTTTTTTTTTCTTTTTACAAATAAACGGCTTTTTGTTGGGGTTTTTTCTCCGTGCTCCGGTGAAGACAGACGTGTCCTCCTGTGCTCCGCTCCCCTGCTTTGCTTTCTTTTGTCTTGTGAACCTTCAAAAGAGCCTCATTTTTTTCCTGCATACCTTCCTAATTTGAAGGATTTTGATCAGCTGGTTTCTCAACAAAATTGATCAACTTCTCCCGACAGGAGTCAGGGTAAGGAGCACCCTCTTACCTCGACGGAAACAAATTGGGTTCATGATGACAACTAGATTCTGCTGTTTGTGTTGGTGAAATCTGTATTGTCTACAAATTTGTGTGGAATTTGTCAAAGCTTGGCAGCACTCAGACTGAATTATGTGGAGCTGTGTCAGAGTTGGAGCAGGCTGTTATCAGGACTGTGGACTTTCTGGCAGCACCTATGAATGGTTGGGAATAATCGTGGAGAAAGCTGTGAGCTTGACTTTCGGCATAAGGAATCAGTTTGGCTGTTTGGAGTTACCATCAGAGAAATGTACCAGCGAGACTTTAAAAGGCAGAAACTGCAATTCACAAGTTCTGCCTGACCCAAACTGTGACCTTGATGGTGGACTTATCTCAATTCCTCCTGGTATGTTTAGGAAAAACAAAGAAGCTTTGTCTGTCTCCTCACCCCTCCCTTCCTCAAGTCTGTGGACATGTGACGGAACCTTAACCGAGCTGATGATAACTAACACCTCTTATCTGGACAATGGCTGAATGGGGGGGGGGGGGGGGGCTCTAGACTATACTATGACCTTTCCTTAAAATTCAATGTCTTCACTGGCCTATATGTACATGTATCACTATTTATGTGCTATGCTGTGGTGGGGGTTTTTTATGCCTCAAATCGTGCCCTGTATAGGACAAGGTGTGAGAGATCTTTTTTTATACCGTCTCTCCTCATGTTTTCTTCCCTTTTCTCATCTAACCAAAAATATTATTCTGAAGAAGAATAAGAGAGCCGCGCTAATTAGCAGCAGCTTCGTGCACTACGTCCATCTTTCGGACGACTGTATGTACATATTCTTGTTGTATCTCGGTGCAATGATAAGAAAGCTTATTCTGCTTCTGCTTCTGATAATAACATTGTTATATGGCCTTCGCTGACATCACTGATACCCCTTCTTTGGCTTTGCTTTTACAATACAAACTGTGCTCAGCTGTCATTCCAATCATACCAAATACAACATAAAATTGCATGTGAGCAAAAACAGAATGCCAAGATGCAAAAATTCAGTTCCGTGTATTTACACTTTATAGCATTAATTTGAAGCAAGACAGCCTAGGGTTAATGAGCCACACAATGAAGATCTGGGAGAGAGTTGTGGAAACTAGACTTAGACAAGAGGTTGTGAGCAGCAGTATGGTTTCACACCAAGAAAGAGTACCACAGATGCCATCATTGCTTTGAGGATGCTGATGGAGAAGTACAGAGAGGGTCAGAAGAACTCCATGACAGATAGCTTCAAAGTGGAGGTGGGAGTGCATCAAGGGTCAGCTCTGAGCTCCTTCTTGTTTGCTCTGGTGATGGACTGACTAACAGATGAGGTCAGGGAGGAATCTCCATGGACCTTGATGTTTGCAGACGATATTGTGATCTGTGGTGAGAACGGGGAACAGGTGGAAGAGAACTTGGAGAGGTGTAGGTATGCACTTGAAAGAAGAGGACTGGTCAGCCGTAGTAAGACAGAGTACATGTGTGAACGAGAGGGAGACTGGTAGAACAGTGAGGCTACAAGAAGCAGAGGTCACAAAGGTGCAGGACTTCAAGTACTTTCATTGTCCAAGAAAATGGGGAGTGTGGTAGAGAGGCGAAAAGGAGGGTCCAGGAAGGATGGAGTGGATGGAGAAAAGTTTCAGGAGTGATTTGTGATAAAAGGGTGTCAGCAAAGGTCAAAGAAAAAGTTTTTTTTTTTTTTTTTTCATTTACCCTTTATTTATACAGGTAATCTCATTGAGCAACGAGAACTCATTTTCAAGAGAGACCTGTTTAGGGAGCAGATGGTGTGGACCTTGCTCATGGGCCCAGAGCGGGGCGAATGAGGGTGGGGGCAAGTGTGGGTGCTTCACCTACCCCACCCACATTTTTGATGTTGTCGGTATCGGGGCGTGAACCGGCGATCTTCCGATCGCAGGCCCACCTTCTCTAACCTCTGTGCCACCACTCTGAGACCAGCTATATTGTATGGTCTGGCGACCGAGACATGGACAAAAAGACAGGAGACAGAACTGGAAGTGGCAGAAATGAAGATGTTGAGGTTCTCCTTAGGAGTGACAAGGATGAATAAGATTAGGAATGAGATCATCAGAGGTACAGCACAGGTTGAACAACTGGGAAATAAAGTTAGAGAGGCCAGACTGTGATGGTTTGGACATGTCCAGAGGAGGGACAGTGGGTTTATTGTTAGAAGGATGTTAGACATGCAGCTGCCAGGAAAAAGACAAAGAGGAGATAAATGGATGCAGTTAGAGAAGAGATGAAAGTTGTTGAAGTGAGGACAGAGGATGCAGAGGACAGAGTGAGATGGAGGAGGATGATGCTGTGGAGATCCCTGAAGAGGGAAAAGCCGAATGAAAAAGAAGAAGAAGAAAGTCTTAAGTCTAGTCTTAAAAGTAAACAGGGTGTTAGGCTCACAAACAGAAATTAGAAGTTGGTTCCAAAAGTGAGGAACCTGATAAATGAAAACTTTCTCCTATTATTTCTTTACAACTCTAGGAACAATAGATAAACCTGCAATTTGTGTCCAAAAACAGGCTCAGTTTGTTGGGCACAGGTTAGCAAAAGGCCTCTGTTTAAAATGTGGCCTCTATTTATCCAGAAAAGGCCATTGTCACTCTACAACTCATTTCTCTGTTCCCAGAGAGACTATTTGGAAGCTGCGAGTCGACTTCCTGCAGGAGAGAGTTCTCAGCCAATGGGAAAACTTTACCATATGGAATGCTGGGAAACAGGGCCGGAAACTGTACCGAAGCCTCAACCCCATCAATCAGAAGAAAGTATGTTGATTTCAGATGTGAAACTCTAGTTGAGTCGTGCTTTATTCATGTTTTTATGACTTTGTGTAACGTACCGGTTAACGTATGTGTCAGTGTTCAACACTTTTCTGTTACATTAGGTCAAAGCTTTCTGTGATGTGGATGCCAACAAGATCCAGAAAGGTTTTTATACATATGAGGAATCCGAGGTGAGGGATTTTTATATCAAGTACGTTTTGTTGCGATTATATTTACAGATTCACTGCTTCTCTTTTTGCTTCTGTATCTCCAGGAAAGACCAAAGCCTAAAGTCCCGATCTTACACTACAAAGACGCCACGAGCCCCTTCATTATCTGTGTCAAACTGGTAAACTGAAAGCATGTTTGTGTGTTTTTTATTTGTTGTTTCTGACCGCCTGTCCCTCAGGTCTGTTATCCAGCCTGACAACATAATGAGTGAGGGCGTGTGCCCAGTACAGGATGTAAAACACAGAAACATACGGGAGTCTGTCAGGAAATGGGTAGAGACAGCAGCCCGATCTTTAATCACAGCGTGCTTGTGCAAACATTTGATGCCCTAAATGACTATTCACTGTGTGTGTGCATAGTTTCACTGGTCTACTTGGTTAGTTCTTACTTTGTTTTTTAAGATAGTGATATGTAGCTGTTATTGCACGTGTAATGAGATGCACACATGCACAGCTGCTGTCGTTGAAGTTTAATCAATAATTGCTTATTTATCACTCAACCAGATTCACATCTAAAGTGACCCCACCTAAGGGGTCTACTACAGTAATTGCTCAATTATGGAAACTGGGAGAGGCAATCAGACAGAGAACAAGGAGAACTGGACTCAATCATGGACCAGTTTTCTGCAACATCCATACACACACACACGTGCACGTAATCACCTGGATCCAATCAGACGTTTTTTTACTCAGATGTAAAATGACTCTAATAGTGAATGTTCCTCTCGGGCTGCGTGTGTGTTTGGACATCTTTACTCATTTAACATTTGGTTTAAGTTTGTTTTAAAAAGAAACACAAAGCAACGGGAACTCTTTCACAGATACGGCAAGTTATGTAGCTTGTACACGTTATGTTTGGTTGAAGTTTTTTGTGTTTAAACGTAGGGTTGTTTTTTTTTCTTCGTCTTTGATCAGGCTTTAGTTTGATTGTGCGTTTTAGTGTTTATTGTGCTGTTTTTCCATTTCTAGGACATGACAGGAGGTGTTCTGGAGGAAAACCTTAACTCTTTGCAGCTGAAGGAAGGAACAGATTGCTACCATTTCAACTGACTGCAGAACGGTGCAGAAAACCACCGGAGCCCGGCAGGTTAAACAGAACGCAGAATGCAAGAAGTTATTTATGTTACACATAAACAAAAACTGAGCAACAGCCCTGTTAGAGTGAACACCACTGTAAAGTTAATATGTATTTTAGTTGTTGTGTCCTTTTATATGTAAGAAGTTGGTGGATAATTTAAAACCTGTTGGTAATGTTGGCAGATCTGATATCTGTGCTTGACTCTTTGGCTCTGCTTGTCAAGGTTTTACAATAAATTAGTTGTTTTGGGGGGAATATGTCTACACCTTTTGGGGTTTTCCCTTTTTTATGATATCAGTCTTGTGTAAATGTTAAATTTGAGATGCTGCAGCCAGAATTGGGTATTGCCTATAGCTTATTTATATAAGTAATGTAGGTCAAAACATTCCTGACGCCTCCTTGCATCTCTATGCTGATGATACTGTTGTTTATTGTCAAGCTAACACAATTGCTAAGGTTTTCCATCTTTTAGTCTGCATTTGACATCAATCAGACTTAGTCCATCTCAAACTGATGCTAAATGCTGATTAAACCAAGGGGAAGTTGTTTTCCAACCAAAAGTTGGTGCTAGCAGTTCCTCCTATCTCATCCATGCGTCGTGTTCCTATTGAGTTTGTAGATTCTTACAAATATTTGGGCATTTTAGTTGATGCACATCTCTCTTTTAAGCCACATATCCATAATTTGATGAAGAAACTGAAATTAAAACTAGGTTTCTTTTTCAGAAATAGATCTTGCTTAACTCTGAATGCTAGAAAACACCTTGTAGTACTTTCCTACCGACCATTGACTTTGTTGACATTATTTACTTGAATGCCCCTGCCAGCTCCTTACAGATGTTGGATGCTGTCTACCATGGCACACTAAGATTCATAACTGGTTGTAACTACTGTACCCATCACTGCACCCTGTACTCATTGGCTAGTTGGTCATGATTAACTTCACGCAGGCTTTCACACTGGTACATCTTCATCTATAAATCCCTCCTTGGTCTGCTACCTTCTTATATCTCCTCCCACATGTCGTCAGTGCAGTTACGGCGTGCACTCTCAGGCCTTCATTACCTGCAGCGTCCCCTCAGTGAGACTGAACTTGGAAAAAAAAAAAAAAGTATTTTCCTACTCTGCTCCTGCAACCTGGAACACCTTGCAACAAGAACTGAAGCTAACATTTGATACGGTCAATAGAAACATCAAAACAACTAAAACTTTGTTTTATAAGGCACCTTGATTTTATTGTTTTACAACACTGCTTTTATTTTAATTGCATTTTATTGTTTATTGTTGTCTGTACTGTATATGTTGTCTGTCTAAAACAGGTCTCTCTTGTAAATGAGTCCTCATGCTTCCTTGAGTCTAACCTGTATAAATAAAGGTTGAATGAATGAATGAAAAATTGTGCTGTATAGGCAGCAACAGCAGCAGAAACCTAACAGCTGTTTTGAGTTTAACACTTTGAAACTATATTATATATCATGGACAACATGTTAAGATACTATTCAGAAAAACTCATGAAGCAGAAAAAAGAAGTTTGCCAAGTGGACAAAGGTCTTATCTAATGTCTGGAAATATTAAAATCATTGTGTGAGATGGGTCAGTATTATCAAAGTTACACACATGGATTTTCAATCAGTCATTAATGGGAAATGTCTCGAGGCCAAGAATTATTTGAAGGAATGCATATCGCCCGCAGCCTTTCATGCCAGAGTTTTAAACTACGGTACAATCATCCCTCTTTTAGGAAATGATTAAGGTAGGGCCATTGTGGTCAATTCCTGAAAAAGATCTCAAGCAATATTGTGGTATCTTAATATAATGTTGCAAACGACTTTCAGCTACTACCACATAACATTTTAGCTCATTATCTGTAAAACTGATGGTTATTGCCATTTTTAAGTTTACCAAGGTCAACTGGCCGTGGCTGCCATGTTAAATCAAGTGGACAGCAGATGTTAGTTGTAGATGTGCATTTAATGATTACAATCTGAGAGTTTCACTAAAATTGGTTTACAGGTTCATGAGATGTTTTGCTAACAGACAAACACAGGCTATCTGTTGTGCTCATGGCAGCAGCAGGCAATAATTGATTTTTAATATTATTGTTCAGAAATGCATAGACTTTCTATAAACGGATTTAACGTTGATAAAATGATGATGTGTTTTTATATCAAACTCTTTGGAGGGAAACTTTTTGTTGTTTGAAAACTCAGCAGTCGTCAGGGTTCAGCCTGGGAGAGATAAAATGCTCCTGTTTGTATAATCCTGTGTGGACGGCATTCGGTATCTGCTCAGTTTTATACATGAGCACGATTTAAAGTTAACAAAAGTCTCCTCACAGAAGGTTCAACCTATTAAGGGTAGGGGATTTTATGACCAGATTTCAAAACACTTCTGATGCAACATTGTAAAATCAGAACACACACACACACACATCTGCTACAGATGAACAAAGATGGATTCTGGTCAAATTTGTTTCTCTTTGTCTTCTTATGAAACTTAAAGAACAATAACCTCTTTAAGAAGGCACAGCCATGATGCAAACACACACAAAGTTTATTTTATCTCATGGAAAGAGGAGATTTTCTGCCCAAAAGATAAACAGACCTTTCCCTCCAAAATCCCCCAACCCCGTGTTTTCTGGGTAACTAACACGGTCTGCTTTACTGTAAACCTGCCCACAACCGTTAAAAAAGAAAGTCACAGAAATAATAAAACTCAAGTCCAATTAGACGGTTTGTGTACTGAACAGGAATATCACTTTGTGGTGAAAACCCACAGAACCAGCACTAAATATGAATTTAATCTTTGTTTTAATTTTGAAGCAGCAACTTCTTGTTTAATGAAGTGGAAATAAATGGGAAAAAACTAAATTATTCCATCTTTGTTTGTTTCAAATCCTTTTAGTTCTCTTCTTTAGACAGAACATTTACATGTAAAATCACCTAATATATGTCATGCTTTTAATAGTTATACACAATATTGGATTTTTGGCCGATACCAATATCGATATATTTTTTCCCTAGACCTACTTACAGAGACTACGTAGTTTTCACTGCTGTGGAATTAAAATACATTATTCCGTACGGTCTTTGTCAGTTTGGCCTGCTACCAAACGCAGATGCCAAAAAAGGGGGGCTGAAAATGATGTAACACTTCAACTTGGATTATGTTTAATGTCAAGTTTATTCATGACATTTACTCTCTCTAACACAATGACAACATTTGAACAGTGTAAATTTATAAGTTTTCACAAATCTAAACTCAACCTGTTCACAAGCGACAAGTGAAAAGCGCATAAGTAGTAGTGCATTAATTGATATACTTGACAGTTTCTAACAACAACTTAAAACAGAAGTCTTTTATATTTTCCTCCCTGGCTCTCGTTGAGGTGGCTGCTTTTGTCTTTCCTCCCCCATTTTTCCTTCCTCCTGCTCTGCTCTCTGTGTGTCTGAAGCGCCTGGTTCACATCTACCGAACGTAAATTAAGATTATGGATTTGGTATCTTGGGCGTTCAACTCTATTGATAAGATTTTTTCATCAAAGCGACAAGGTCCTGGAGAACCGGCGTGTCCAGCTGAGACACACGCTGTGAGGTACGTCATGGATCCGTGGGGAGTGTGGCAGATGATGTGTCTCTCAGTTCTGTCTCAGGAGGATGTTGAAGATGTTTACATATTTGGAATTATAATAACATGGACTCTTGCTTTTTGGCATTGGCGGGGCTCTGTTTTTATAGACAATTTCGGCCATGGCAAAGCTTCCGAGTCAGTGTGAAGGTTTGGTCTGTGCTGTAGGAACTCTAAATCAACTGGTTTACAAGCTAAACCGCAAAGTGGAGGCGATTTATGAGAATCGCAGGCCACCTGTGGCTTCTGGGACTCGTCAGCACGGTGGGTTCGACCTTGAGGAAGACTCATAGATCAGTGGAATGGATTCCCACAATTAGGCCTTTGTGGAACCTGAACGTCCAGATGGACTCAAGGCTGAAGAAAAAAATCTGTCTGCCTGAAGAAAATCAACAATCAAAGCTTATCTGAATCTGACTCCCTGACGGCTTCGGAATGGGCCGACTTTCTAATTCCTCCTGGGTCATTTGTAACCAAGGACAAAAGCTTCATCTATTGCACCCCAAGAACTTTCTGTGCAAGCTTATAAAAACTGCTGGCTGAAACAACATCTTCAGAAACTGTGGCCGATCTGAAAAAACGCTCATGGATAAATCTCAACACCTTGACTTCAAATGCATATGTGATCATGTTTTAATTGTGTTTGCTGGTAGAGTTTTTTTGATGTCTCAAATTGTGTCCTGATAGACAAGATGTGAAAGATCTTTTTTTGTAATACCACTATCTACCCTCATCAAAAAAGGTTGAATCATGTCATCTGGACTTCGTTTTTTTTGTTAAAAAGAAACGTTTCGCCCCTCATCCAAGAGGCTTCGTCAGTCTGAGGCCTAGCCATCTGGTATTACCCAGAAGCCACCCTGACTCTTGTGTTTCAAGCCTGCCTCAGATACCCCTGAAGTCTGGCCTTTTCCCTAATGGTTTCAAAAATACAAAGTTTGTTTTCTCAGTCATCCAGGTA